GGCCTGGGGGCTCCAGGTGATGCCCTCAGTGCCCCATCAGTGCCCAGCTCACGGGCTGAGGTGAATCCTGCACACCCCCAGCTCCAGCAGCACTTTTCCAGAGGGCCATGAGCAGAGAAATCCTCCCTGGACTCAGAATTGCCCAGAGAGGGGCTGGTGAGAGTCCCTGCCCCACTGGGCATCAGCTCAGCCATCCCTGCATCCGGCTCAGCTCTGCCCCAGCCTGGCTTTGTGTCCTGACCCAAGGAAGGGACACAAAACCCTTTTGGGGCCATTAAACCCACCCCTCCTCTTCCTCCTCCTCCTCCTCCTTGTCCCTCTCCATCCTCAGCAGGAGCCCCTGGGGCAGCACGAGGCGGGATTGGGGTCAGCACCCCCCGGCACCCAAAGAGCAGCAGCCCGAAATCAAAGGCAGCCCAGACAATGGCAGAGCTGCGGGCTCAGGCCGGGCACAGCATTAAACAGCAGCATCACCGGGGAGGGGACAGCCGGTGGGGACATTACCGGGACCGGTGGGGACATTACCAGGGCTGGGGACAGCCGATGGGGACATTACTGGGGCCGGGGACAGCCGGTGGGGACATTACCGGGGCTGGGGACATCACCAGGGCCGGGGACAGCCAGTGGGGACATTACTGAGGCTGGGGAGAGCCACTGGGGACATTACTGAACACAAGCACAACTTCACATTTATTATTTTACAGATTCCTGTGACTCTCAGAGCAGGGCTGCAGCAGCTTTGTTTTTCTCTGGGTTTGCCCGAGCTGTGTTTCCATTTTTCTCATTTTCCTCACAAAAATACCTGCTTGGCTCTAAGAACCTCCTGCACTTTGCTGCTCGACCTCAGCCCTGGCTGCAGCATCCTCAGGGAGCATCCAGCTGGAGTCCAAACATCCCCCTTGTCCCCTCCTCACTGCCAGGTTGTCTTTATTTCCTTCCTTTTCCTATTTCCCTCCAGTTTCCCTGGCTGGAGTTGAATGACACTGTGCTAATTTGTGGCCCAGCTCCTCCTGAGACTCTGGAGTTTTAATTATATTTTTCTCCTGCTTGGTGCAAGGCTGGGCTATAATTATGCCAGGGAGAGCATTACTTAGGAGTGACCTGGGAGCAGCATTCCCTCTGGGAGCCAGGGCACTGCCTGCTCCCAGGAATTCTCATTTAGTGTGCTGGGCAGCAGATCCCCCATGCTGGAGAGGAGTGAAGTGTTTGCCACGTGCCACCCATCCCTGGGACTGATCCAGCGATGGTTCCTCCTTCCATAACCAGCCCAGCCACTAGTTACAAACCCCTGAAATGGAGTTACATTGGTTCCAAACCCCTGAAATGGGGTTACACTGGTTCCAAACCCCTGAAATGGGGTTACACTGGTTACAAACCCCTGAAATGGGGTTACACTGGTTCCAAACCCCTGAAATGGAGTTACACTGGTTACAAACCCCTGAAATGGGGTTACACTGGTTACAAGCCCCTGAAATGGGGTTACACTGGTTACAAGCCCCTGAAATGGGGCTACACTGGTTCCAAACCCCTGAAATGGGGTTACACTGGTTACAAACCCCTGAAATGGGGTTACATTGGTTCCAAACCCCTGAAATGGGGTTACACTGGTTCCAAACCCCTGAAATGGAGTTACACTGGTTACAAGCCCCTGAAATGGGGTTACACTGGTTCCAAACCCCTGAAATGGGGGTTACACTGGTTACAAGCCCCTGAAATGGGGTTACACTGGTTCCAAACCCCTGAAATGGGGTTACATTGGTTACAAACCCCTGAAATGGGGTTACACTGGTTCCAAACCCCTGAAATGGGGTTACACTGGTTACAAACTCCTGAATTATGGAAGCAGGACAGATGTAGGGTCTGAGCTGCCATCACCCATCCTGGAGAGCTGGAGCCAGCCCTGATCTCCCCTGGCATTCCCTGTGCACCCATCCCTCCCATGCCAAAATCCAGGGGCTGGGCTCAGCTCCCTGGCCCACCTTTGTTGCCTGGGTATTTTATTTTAGTGCATGATGACACACCAGAGCCTACAGATAATTTGCCTGAGGTGTCAATTAGCACTAATGAGATGGGGCTCGGGGTGTCCAGTGCATCCTTCACCCTTCCAGGGTGGCAGCAGAAAGAGTGCAGGCTCTTGGCTGATTGGAGAGGGAACGAAAATGTCCCAGAGCACTCAGAGAACACACTGAACATTCCTTTTAAACAGCTGGGAAAGAGTTCCCTCCTTGTCTCCCTCTGAAAATATCATGGAATCATGGAAAGATTTGGGTTGGAAGGGACCTTAAAGTTCATCCAGTGCCACCCCTGCCATAGGCAGGGACACCTTCCCTACCCTGCTCCAAACTTTCTCCTGGCCTGGAACCCTCCCAGGGATGGGCCAGCTGCTACCAACAGCACTTCCTCACCCTCATCCACATCCCTTCCTCCCTGCTCACTTCACCTGAACAATTCCAGAGAATCAGGGAATTTTGTGCTCTCCCATTGAAATTACAGCAAAGAACATTTAGGAGAATCTCCTCTTGACCCTAAAAGAAATCTCTTAAAGGTGCAGATATCCCTGTGCTCTGCTCACACTCCACCAACTTTAGGAAAGCAATTTACTTGTCTCCAGCTCACTGTTTTTAGCCTACTTTCCTCAGGAAATGGGGCTCACTCCTGTGATTGTGCTGTTTATATATCTATATGCCATCACTCCCACACTAATAACTTCTGAACGTGTTGGCCAATTCCAACCAAATCTGACAGAGCGGCAGAGTTTTCAAAAATACTGAATTCCTACAAATTTAATGAAAGCCGTGGGTGGGCACATATTTTATATTTTTTTTCCCCCACCAAGGGAAAGGCTGCAGAGTGAACTCAGACAGAAAGGAATACACACACAGAGCCACACCAGGGGCTGGGAAATTGAGTTTATGTTGGCATTAGAGGGGGGATATTCCACCCCTGAGCCCCAAAACCTCAGGAATGAGCCCCAGGATTCTCCCCCAGCTCTGCTTTGTGGCATTTGGACGATGCAGTTTGGTGTGGGCACTGCAGGGGAGGCTTCCTTCATTAGGAAGCTTTAGAATTAAATCGGACTAAGATTAATAAGAAAGCTTTTCCAGCTGGATCTCAGTCTGTAAAACCTTGCTCTGCTCTGGTTCTGCAGGCTCAGGGACTCTGCCAAAAGCCTCAGGAGGGGGGAGAGCTCGAGCTGAGGGATTGGAGGTTTCAGACAAAGCGGTTTAAGGTAAAAGAGCAGAGATTTACATGGGATATTGGGAAGGAATCCTTCCCTGGACCCACCTAATTCCATCCATCTCCACTCTCCATCCTCCACCCTCCACTCCCCAGCCTCCCTGGGAGGGCAGGGAGCTGCTCACAACTGGCATTCCTGACTCGATTTCCCCCCCTTCTCTCCCATAATTAGAGGGGAATATTACATGTCAGGAGCTCATTAAGCATTTCTTCCCATCCCACTCTCATGGGATTCCAGGATCATCACCACTGGGGGATTGAGGATGCTCAGGTTCTCAGACCCAGCATCCCATGGCAGACTGGAGTTCCACATTTCCAGCATCCATCCCACAGCTCACTGGGGCTCCACATTTCCAGGACCCATCCCACAACACACTAAAGCTCCACATTTCCAGGACCCATCCCACAACACACTAAAGCTCCACATTTCCAGGATCCATCCCACAGCACACTAAAGCTCCACATTTCCAGGACTGCAGCCTTTCGAGGCATTCCCGTCCATCCCCAGACCACAGGGGAAGATCTGGCCTTCCCACTGCTCTGCAGTCTGCTTCCTACCTGCCATTCTAGTGGGATTTTTCATTTTTTTTTTTCCAACCATCAGCTCGAAAACATCATCAAGCCCAAATGTGCTCCCAAAGCAGGCCCGGGAGGCTCATTCATATTGCAGATAAGCCCTTGGCAGACATGCTGATAAAGATTTCAAGTGTGACTCTGCATACAAATATTCCAGACTCAACAATTAATCCAGCACAGGAGGCTGAGGAGGTACCTGGGTTTTAACCCTAACCCCAGCCCTTTTTCCCAGCCTGGCTGCTAAATATAGCCCTTGCTCAGAAAACAGAAAGGAATGACATGCTCTAATAAACCACCCCAAAATGTGATACACAGAGCCCTGAATTCTCCAGAGGAGCTTTTCCTCCTCGCCTCACCGCTGGTCTGGGAGCTCCCTGCAAGGCACAGAGCTCCAGGTGCCTTTTGGGAGCCAGCTACAGGGTGCTTGAGCTGGTCCTGCTTTGAGCTGGGACCTTATTTCAATTTAAATTAGACATGGCTCATTTTCCCTTCCCTCCTGCTGAGGGAGAGATCCCTCTCAGGGATTTTCAGCAGATCCCAGCTCTGGATCTCTGAGCAGTTCCACAAGGGCTGCCCAGGGAGAAGGGGCATTGTAGGGCACCCAGATCTGCTCTTTTCCAGCAGAGCCTCCCCACAGCTGAAGCCACATATTTGACTGATTTTCCACTCAAAAAAATCCCTTTTGGGAATGGAAATAGCTGGGAATCCTCCCAGCACAGGCCAGCCCTGGGATGGTTCCTCTTGGCTGTGAGTCAGGCAGAGGAATTTGGCAAACTCAGGAGCTCTTCTGCTTATCCAAGAGGAGAGGGAAAAATGGGATAAATAACCCAGCACCCCCTAAGTGACAGTGCTCAGCCTGTGACAGCCACCAAGGTGCCACCACCCCCTGCTCAGGCTGCCCTGCGTGGCCTCCCTGCCTCACCTGGGGAGGTTGTGCATCCCAAGCCCCCTGGGAATTACCAGAGGGACAACTGGGCTTGGATCCACTCTGCTTTGAAGAGCACCCCAAGTCCTGGGCAACCCCAAAGCTGCTGTGAGATCCACAGAACACCAACCTGCAGATTCCCACCACGAGCAAAAACTCTACAAAAAACTCTACTACAAGAAAACTTCTCACCCCATTTACCCCAAGCCCCCAGGGCGGGATCCCATCTCAGACACACCGGGATGGGCAGGAACCCCCTCACCTGGACGCCGCGATCTCCGCTTTCTGCTTGGCGATGGTGGCCGCCCTCTCGGCCGCCTCCACGGCCCGATCCACCTTCTCCCGGATCTTGCTGGCGCGCAGCGGGATCAGGTTCTTCCTCTTGCCGCTGACCAGGATGTTCTGCTTGTACTTGCCCTCCTCCTTGGTGCCGTCGGGGAAGGTCATGCAGCCGTAGCCGTGGCGCTTGTTGTTGGCCCACTCGCCCTCGTACTTGAGCCCGTCCGAGCGCTGGCTCACGCCCGAGCCCGAGCGCTTGTCGTTCTTCCACTCGCCCACGTAGATCTCGGTGGTGGTGGCGTCGATGTCGTCCTCGATGACCGAGAGCTCGGCCTCGCCCTCGCCCAGGCTGATGGTGGAGTTGATGTCGCTGGCGGTGGAGCTGACCGTGCTCATGCCGGCCTCGCTGCGGAACGAGCTCTGCTTGCTCCGCTGGCTGGCCAAGGAGCTCTTGGACTCGGACTTGCGGAGCTTGAGCCCGCTCAGCAGCGAGCGCCGGAAGATTCCCTTCTTCTTGCTCTTGAGGATCTCGGCGTCGCTGTGGGCCATGAGGACGAAGCCGCCGCGGGACACGGCGGGGCTGCCGGCCACGGCGGGCGAGGCGTCGGGGTGCAGCGCCGTGCCGTTGGTGTGCTCGCTGCGCAGGGAGTTGATGGACGTCCTCAGGGGTGACCTGATGACCGCAGCCATGCCGTAGGGAACGCTCTGCCGCACGCCGTAACCCTGGCGCATGCCCCCGACCCACTGGCCCTGGTATGTCCCTGCGGAGGGGAGACAAAAGGAAAAGGAAGGGGGGAGGTCATGGCATCAAACTCCTCTGGGAGATCTTTGAAGCTTTGGGATGCCAGTCCCAGCTCTAGGATGGGGATTGCAATGTCAGGTTGTGGAGGGAAAATTGATTGGATTCACAGAATTCACACAATGACCAGGTTGGAAGGGACCTCAAAGATCATCGAGTCCAACCCAGCCCCGACACCTCAACTAAAGCCTGGCACCCAGAGCCACATCCAGGCTTGGTTAAACACACTCAGAGATGATGACTCCACCACCTCCCCGTGCCACATCCAGGCTTTGTTAAACACACCTAGGGATGGTGACTCCACCACCTCCCTGAGCAGAACATTGCAGATTGCAGGCTTGCACTCCAGCTGCAGCATGGGGGTGTTAGAAACCATCCAGGAACTGCCCCTTGGATCAATCCCTAATGTGAAAGGGAAGGGAGCAGGGCTGTGGAAAGGGGGAATGGTTATCCAGGAGCACACTCTGATCCCGTCCATGCTACTGGCATCTCACAGTGGATGGAAAATGTATAACAATACATTTATTTATACACACAGAGCCTTCATCCGGTGCGCTGGGGAAGGCAGCAGCTCCATGGAAATAAAGGCCTCACGGGGGGAGATCCATTTGGATATCCCCCTTGGAATTGTGCCCCTGTTGGATCTCCTGCGTTTGCATGGGCACTTCCTGGAGTTTCTTAACTGGTTGTTGGTGGCACCAAACACACACAGGGCTCCACCACCGCACTGGGAATGGGGGGACAAGGAGCCCACCTACCCTGGGGGGCACAGCTGGACCTCAGCACCCTCCCTGTGCTGGGGTGGGTGGTAATCTGCTCAGGGTTCCTAATCCCATCCCCTCCTGGAGGTTGGCACAGTTCCAGGCTTTATCCCAGCCCATTGAACTGCAGGGCTTGTTTTTATTCTTAGGTCAGCTTAATCTTCTCCAGAGCAGCTCGAGATGCAGTGATGCACTGTGAGCCCTGCTGGGGCAGGCTGAGGAGCCCGAGGGTGGCTCTAAGCTGGGCCCTGGAGCTGCTGGAATGCTGTGATTCCCTGAGGAGGGCTCTGAGCTGGGCCCTGGAGCTGCTGGAATGCTGTGATTCCCTGAGGGTGGCTCTGAGCTGGGCCCTGGAGATGCTGGAATGCTGTGATTCCCTGAGGGTGGCTCTGAGCTGGGCCCTGGAGATGCTGGAATGCTGTGATTCCCTGAGGGTGGCTCTGAGCTGGGCCCTGGAGCTGCTGGAATGCTGTGATTCCCTGAGGGTGGCTCTGAGCTGGGCCCTGGAGCTGCTGGAATGCTGTGATTCCCTGAGGGTGGCTCTGAGCTGGGCCCTGGAGCTGCTGGAATGCTGTGATTCCCTGAGCAGGGCTCTGAGCTGGGCTCTGGAGATGCTGGAATGCTGTGATTCCCTGAGGGTGGCTCTGAGCTGCTGGAATGCTGTGATTCCTGCACATTCCTGGATGTGCAGAGCTGGGATGGGCACAGACAGCAGCACCTCACAGCAGTGGGGCCTCCCTTTGTGCCAGCCCAGGGAGCCCTAAACAGACCTGCTGAAATAGTGAACCCTGCGTGAATGGGGCCAGTCCTACCCCAGCACTCCCTGAGGAATTTCCCTGCCCAGTCCTGGGGCTCAGCAGTGCAGAAGGGATCTGGGCTGGAGCAGCTCATGCTGAGCACAGGAGCTGCTTCCCCAGAGTGTGAAACCAGCACCTGACCACATTCTGGGGTGTATTTTGGGGTGTATTTTGGGGTTCTTCAACTGTCTTTTAGCTGCCAGTGCTTTGAACAAATCCCCCAGGATTTGGGCATTCTTCCCTGTGCTCCAATGGCATTGCATTATTGGGGTGACAGCTTTGTGCACTCCAAAAAACCCCCAGGCCCAAGGTGGGGGCCCCACAGAGCCTGCCCTGGAGAGGGGACGTGGGGAGGCAGGGGCAGGCAGGATTTACTGAGGGTTTATAGGATTAGCACTGGGATTAGGGCAGGCACTGGCAGGGCAGGGAGAGGAGGTGGTGACAGGGAGAAGGATGTGGGACAGCCTGTGAGATGCAGCTCAGGGGACACAGCAGACGTGTCCTGTGTGGGGTTTGAGCAGTGAGCCTGCCTTGTCCCCTGAGGTGTCCCCAAGAATGGGGAACAACCAGTGCCATGCATCAGCTCTCCCCAGGCCTGGGATGGTGCCTGTGGCAGAGCCTGCCAAGGTGTCCCTGCATTCCCTGGAGACCTGGCAGCACCTCTCCTCCCTTTCTGCCTCCATCCCAGAGTATCTCAGCAGGACAATGGAAATATTTCCCCCCAGAGCCCCAAATTCCCCTGCCAAGGAGCCCCCAGGATGTCCTCACACCGTGCTCCTGCTTCCCTGGGGATGGATTCAGGGGGTTTCAGGGCAGTGTGGGCATGGGCACAGGGAGAACAGTTCCTGCATGACATCCACCAGATCTCACTCTGCCCAAATCCTGATCTCCCTTTCTCTTGGTGAATCCCTTCACTCCAGCCCTGACAGGTCCCTCAGCCTCCTCATCTCCTGGCAAATGTGCAGCTGCAAACCCTCCCTGGATTCAACTGCAGCAGCTGGAGGATCACAGCCCTGTGCTGAGACCTGAGGGACTGGCAGGGAGCAGAACAAAGCTCTGGGGGCTGGAGCACTTGTGGAAAATTGGTCACAGCAGGTCCCAGTGCAGCTGTGCCTGTCCCCAGCCAGGCTGAGGTGCTCAGGGTGCTGCCATCCCATCCCATCCCATCCCATCCCATCCCATCCCATCCCATCCCATCCCAGCCTGGCTCCCAGCCTGCTCCTGGAATGGCACAGCTGCCAGGAGCAGTCTTGGCATCTCCTTGGCAAGGTGGATTTTCCAGCCACTCCATCCTGCTTGTCCTGTCCCAGCACCGTGGAGCAACTCCCCATCCCCAGCTCTGTTTTTGGGGGTGTCATTCCTTCCCCACCATGGATTATCCCCAGGGATTGCCTCAGAGGCCACGCTCGTGTCCCCAACACCCACCAAGACATCTGGGCAGCTTCATGGCCACCAGCAGATCAAAGATTCCTGCAGGGATCTGAGCCCTTCCTCAGCCAGCAGAGCTCCTTCCTTCCCTGGCTCATGGTGTTTCAAACCCTGGATCTCCAGGATGTGGCCATGGATCATGGGAGGCTCTGGAGCCACCTGATCTGCACTGCTGAGACGCCTCCTCCCCAGGCCCTGCTCAGCTCAACCTCTGCCCCACCACCTGCAGATATCTGCACAAGGCTTGGTCTCACAAGGAGCCCAGAGCCTCCTTGTCCCTGCAGAGGAATCAGGATTTCACAATATCCCCCCATTCCCCGGCTGCAGCTGCTCCAAGCTGGGGAATGGAAAGGGAAGGTGCAGCAGGAATCTGGCATGGTGGGGCTGGGAGGGGTGGAATGAGAATTTCTGACAGAACAGAATCTTCTGCTGAGGTGCTGAAAGGAGAATTCCAAGGATTTTGGTTGTGAGCACCTCAAGGGTCGGGATGGGATGGGATGGGATGGGATGGGATGGGATGGGATGGGATGGGAGGCAGGGAGCGATCCAAGGCAATCCTGGCCACAAACCCACTGTCCTGGCCAGAGAAAAGCCAAAGCCACCCTGATGGAGGAGAATCCTGGGGAGGAAAAGGTCCCAACGACTTCCCTCAGCCATGCAGGGCACTCCTGTGGATGCCTCCAAGATGGCACAAATATCCATCCCACCTCTGGGTGGTTCTTTTGCACAGGGCAAAAAGGACAAAAAGAGAGAAGAAAATCTTGGACATGGAAAGTCAAGATAAAGGTGAGGAAGTGGCCACGTCCATGCCAAGCAGAGCTAAGGAGAGGGCACAACATGAGGCTAGGAGAAAACAACTGGAGTATCCCAAAAGATGGATTGGAGAGAAAAATCCTATTTCAGAAAAAACTGCTGAAGTGTAAGAAAGGGAACAGGCTCATGGGAAAGACATCCCCAAGGGGAGGATGTGGGGCTGCTCAGGTACATGGGGTTTCCTCAGGCTTGAGGTAAGATCATGCACTTGGACATAAACCTGCTCCATGATGTTGGGAGGAGATAAAAGTAATGATTTTTTGGGTTGGAATGACTGCATTTTCTTTCCCCCTCTGCCCATACCCAAGATTTGGCACTTTGTAGTCACTGAACCCTCTGGCCCCACTCCAGGAACACCATTAAGGAGAAGCTTCACAGCTGCTCCCAGGCTTTTCCCAAACCCACAGGGCTGGTTCTGTGTCCTGCAGAATGAACCCTTTGGCAAACACAGGGATAAAGCTCACGGGAGGTTTGCACATCTCCTCATCTGGAGACACCCAGGCAGGAATTTGGGATGTTGTGAAGGATTTTGAGGGCAGCAGACACACTTGTGTCATTATCACACAGAATAAGACAATTTCTTAATAACACAAATAATTCTCACAAATAGTTCTTCTCAAATAACACAAATAAGACAAATCACCCAGAATAAGACAAATTCGGAAAAAATTTGGACAAGTTTGGAAAGAATTCCTTCTCCATCCCTAACTCTGAGTTGAAACCCAAGCATGCAGGGTCAATATTCCCAGGTTAGATAAAATAATCAGGAAAAGGGATGCACCTTCCCAGCTTTGCCTGGAAAAAGGGAGCAGGAGGCTGCAAAGGACAGGAGCTCTGTCCCATCCTTGAGGCCCAGCCAGTTCCTCCTGGAGCAGTGGCTGTGCTGGGCACCCCAAAATCCCCAGCTCCCCAAAATCCCCAGCTCCCCAAAATCCCAGGGATTTAGGGGACGTGGTCCAAAGTGCCCCTCCACTTTTCCAAGCCAAAGCAATTAGGTTTTACAAATTGCTGATTTATCTCACAGAGGATCCTTCCTGGCGTGCTCAGCCCCCCTCTTATCTCTGGCCTCTGCAGCATATTAATTAAAGATGTCCGATGGCAATAATTAGGCTGGGCTCTTGAATTCCAACCAGAGGAGGGAGTTTTACAGATATCCCCTTCCA